AAAATATTTTTAAAATTACTTATTAAAAATATTTTTAAATAATTTTTTTTTAAAGTTATTTTGTGTAAATACCTAATTCAACATATTTGTCACAAAATTTTATTAAGCTAATATATCTTGTGCTATTAAAGAATCTTGTTCATTATATTCTAAAGAATATATTTACAAACTTTTGTGAGTTTTGAATACTTCATTATTAAAATATAGATAAAAATATTATGTACCACTACTTTTGCTAGGGACTGTATATATAATTAGAATTTTTCACTTAGAAAAATCTAAAAAATTAAAAAATATATATTAAATTTTAAATTAAAAACAAAAAAAATTTATTTATAAGTTAAAAACTTTAATATAAAGAAGTTTCATATTTTATTATATTTTATTAATAAAAATATATAAATTTTTAATTAATTTAAAATTTAAAATATAAAAATAAATATTTAAATCTATTTTTAAATATAGAATACATATATTTTTAATTAAATTTTAATTTTTTATAAATTATAATGATTCTTATAAAATTAAAAAGTTAATTTTATTAATAAAATATAATAAAAATAAAAATTTTCTTTTTATAATATTTTTATAATTATAAAAGTAGAGAATTAATTTTATTAAATAAAATATATTAAAAATTTTATTTTTATACTAAAATAAAATTTGTAATTTATAATTTAATATATAATGTGAGATAAAAAAACAAGAATTATTATATTTAATGAATATTTATTTAAATTATATAAAATTTTAAATATATATGCTTAATAACCTAGTGAACAAGTTTACTTAAAAGTATTTAATAGCTTATCTTAATAAAATTTTTTATAATTAATACTTTTTTATAAAAAAAATTGATTATAAAAAATTTAAAATCCTTTTTTAAATCTTTTTTTATTTGTTATTCAATGAATATTTGTTAAAATTATACAAAATTTTAAATATATATGCTTGATAATTAATAAATAAGATTATTGCAAAATAATAATCAAATTTAAGTATAATAATTTTTTTTATTATTAAAAATTTTAATAAGATAAGTGTTCAAGTAGAAAGTTATTTATCATGCTCACAAGTATATACAGTGGCCATCAAAAGTAATGCGATGCTTAAATTTTTTACTAATTATAATTAGTAAAATTTTCCTTATATATAAGAGTTTTTAATTTTACTAACAAATATTTTTTATTTTTACCTCAAAAAATAGCTAAAGTTCTCTAGTTTAACATATATTTTTTTCAGATTTTTCGGATTTTTTACAAGCAACTTTTTCTAATGCATATAAAGTCAATTAATTTTTACTAATTAATAATTAATAAAAATTAATTGACTTCATATGCAATTAGAAAAAGTCACCAGTAAAAAATCCGAAAAATCTGAAAAAAATATATGTTAAACTAGAGAACTTTAGCTATTTTTTGAGGTAAAAATAAAAAATATTTGTTAGTAAAATTAAAAACTTTTATATGTAAGGAAAATTACGCATTTTACTAATTATAATTAGTAAAAAATTTAAGCGTTGCATTACTTTTGATGGCCACCGTATATTTAAATTTTTATGTTATTTAAATAAATATTTATGGAGAAAATAAGAATTACGGTTTTTTTGTCCCACATTGTATTATTCTAATTACAAAAAATTTTTTCAATTTTATTATACACGTTATACATAATTATTAATATCGTGGAATCTTTAATGTAATGTCCATTATTGTACTGTCCAAGTTAACACGAAATCATTTGTCAATTCAAGCAAGTTCAGTTCCTTGTGAGCAATTATTTTCAATTGCTGGAACTGTCATTAGTAAAGCTAGAAATAGATTAACAAATGAAAATGCTCGTGCATGTTGTGTTTAAAGTTGGATGAATGAAAATATTTTATAGTTTATAGATATTATTTTATTTCACTCTTTATTGTATTTTGTTTGAGTTTGCTAAATTATGATTTTTTGATTCGTTTTATTAGTTTATTAAAAAAAAATAAAATTGTTAATTAATAGTAAAAATATGCGTAATTATATATTATTTTATGATATAAACTTTTGATTTATCAGGAAATTCATTTGACCGACTTTTAGTCGACTTTGACTCATAGTCGGAGTTGAGTTTTAGTCGCGTCAAATCGTTAGCAATCCTAGTCAGCATCATTGTTATCGTCGCTGTTATTGTCGTTGTTGTTGCCGATACTATAGTTACTACTTTCAGCTTCCACAAAAAAATTTGCAGAGTTGTTCAGAAAGTTTTTCACTAAAAATCCAGGATGAAAGTATGTGTTTTCCGATAAGGGTGGGAATGCTTCTGATGGTGGCGACATGAAGAAGGGTGGTTTTTCGATAAAATCGTCTGTTAAAACAAGCGGACTCGAATCATGATGAGTTACATACTCTTCTGATTCTGAATCTGTTTCTACTTCTTGCATTACAACGTCAATATGATCATCTTCTTTCTCCAAAATTTCTTGCAACACATTGTTTTCAGCATTATCATCAATCTCCTCTTCTATCTTTTTTTCTTCCTCCTCTTCTATCGCTTCCTCTTCTTCAGCCTCTATCTTTTCCTCTTTTTTTTCGTTTTCCTCTTCTTCTATCTCTTCCGCCCTATTTTCGTTTTCCTTTTCTTCTATCTCTTCCGCCCTATTTTCGTTTTCCTTTTCTTCCATCTCTTCCTCTTCTTCCTCTTCTATCTCCTCTTCTTCCTCTTCCTCCTCCTCTTCCTCCTCTTCTTCCTCTTCCTCTTCTTCTTCCTCTTCTTCTTCCTCCTCTTCCCCCTCCTCTTCCCCCTTCATATCTTCATCTTCTTGATAATTTATAGTTGGTTGGGGTCTGCGTCGAGGAGTATATAGCGTATTAACATCATTTATCACATTAAGAGGCATTCTTGAAGGCAGGCTAAACCCCATCTCTGCATATTCTCTAGGAAATGCATATCTAAACCGATCCCGCAAGTCAGTGCCTTTACGCTGATTAGCGAAACCAAATTCAGGATCTTTGGCAATGTTAGCCCATGCACAGCCATGTTTTCTGACGCCGGCTAATAATTTTTGATCTTCTTCAATACTAAAATAACGTTTTTGTTTTCGTCTGGCAGCACGAAAAATAGGTGAGGGATTCATTGATATCTGGGAAATAGGTCGAGGGCTCTGGGTTGTCGAACGACCGTTAAGGCGTTTTAATTCATTTGGAAACAATGTACGGAACCTTTTTACGCGGATTCAAATTAGTTTAATATACCAGAATTTCAAACATCAGTGGTCTAACGAAATACTTTACAAGATACTAACTTATCTTTCAAATCTCCTGCTGAACGATCATCAAAATACAAGTTTCGATCGCGAAGTATCTTTGACCAAGCTCCAACTCCATGCTAATGATCAAAAGCCATTGCTAACTTATTAAATTGAAAAGAAAACACGAAGGACTTCAAACAGACAACATACTTTTCTGCATCCTTCGATAAGCGAGTTTTTTTCTCGTTCGGTCCAACTGCGTCTAATACGTCTTCCTCGCGACACATTAACTCTTTGATGTAATGCTGCTGTTTGCATTTGTCCGCTTTGTGGTTGTGATAAAACTAATTGACGCGACTGTGTATATGAAGACGATGAATCGCCACCCGGACCTTCCATTTGAGAGTCTGCACTTTTTCGTTGCGGTTCTTCAAAGACATGTGTTGGTTGATAGTGCCTTGAAGAGAGCTTTGTTTTCGCCATTATAATGTTACTAATTATTTCGCGTTCGAAAAGAGGTTGGGAAGAAATGTTTATTATAATTTAAAGCTACAGCCAATCAGCATGAATATATAAACGTGATTCAAAATTACAGATCAACATATATATATTCTTAATTTGCCCTCGTTTTCGTTTCTCTCCTCACAAAGATAATAATTCTCACCATGCCGCGTCACAGCAAAAACAACACCGCCCTCTCTTTTTTCACCTACGCCGAAAGCCAGGCACTGAATTATGGAACAAAAAAGGTACATTCAAGCAAACAGGGAACGAAAAATCCCACTTTCATTTCCTTGCTCTCATCACATTTTCAGCTTTCATTCTTTTTACATAATAACGTCGTACTAGCAACGTTTAGGACGTGACTCAATGCGCGAATTTGACGCTTGTTATCTTTGCCTACAACGTGCTCGTGACCCAGTTTGTTGCTCGCATGGTCATCTATATTGTAAAGAGTGCATCTATGAAAACATTTTAGCACAGAAGAAAGAAATTAAACGACAGCAGCTGTTGCTTGAACAACGAGAAAAAGACGAGGCAGAGGCGGCTAAACGTAAAGAGGAATTGGCTAAAGAAGCGTTGATTCTTGATTTTGAACGACAGCAAGTTAGAGTTGCGCCTACTGATTCCTCTTTTTCGAAGTCTGAAAAAGTTGCTGAAAAAGACGATGAAAGTAAGGACGAGGATAATGTAGATAAAGGAAAGCAGGAAAGTCGTCGAGTCTCCGAGACTAAAGACGCGAAAGATAATGGATTAGTAAAAGGTTTGTTTCTTATTCGATTAACAAGAATGACGCTTTGAATCCCTGCATTTGATTTTACCTTTATTTTATTTTATTTTAGTTGCTGGGAAAAAAAGAGGTTTTCAACTGGACGAAGATGAGATATTAGCGATTTCAAGACGTGAACATGAAGAATCGCTGAAAAGATTGGAAGAAGAACGAGTAAATCTTTTTTATCTATATGCTTATTATTTTCCTTGATTATAGCTCCTCTATCAATATATAAAACAGTGATCTTTCGCAATTTATAATAAAAGATTAAAGCATCAAAACCAAAGCTTCCAAATTTTTGGCTGGTGAGTTACGCGTATTATTTTTTTTACTAACTGTTTTGTTGTGTAAATAAAATGAATTAATTTTAATAATTAATTGATCATTAGCCATCTCTTACCCCGTCCGCTGACCCTGATAAAACTACATCAGCAAAACGTCAGACCATGTGCACAGCAACCGAGTCTGAGCATCCTATAAGGTAAATAACGAATCTAAATTTCCAAATAAAAATATTTTTACGATTAACTAATCCATTTCTTCTAATGTTGGTTTTAGTATCAAAAATCTTATTCCCACGAAATTCACTGAAGTCGCAGAAATAAATTCAAAGAACAAGAGTTTTATATGCCCTTCTTGTCGCAAGAGTTTGACGAACACAGTAAAGATTAGTTGTATGTGTAATTGTATTGTATAAATCTCTACGTTGTTGAACAAAAATTTTTGTAAAGAAAAAATTATTTTTTGCAGTACTGAAAACGTGTGGACACGTAATATGTGGCGTTTGCGTTGACAAATTTGTAAGAAAGGCTCATCGGTGCTTTGTATGTGAGACGAAATGTAAAGAGAAAGATATTGCTGATATGTCTGGAGAAGGTATGTTGTTGAAATTTATTAAAAAAGCGCCTTATTATATATTTGTAAAGTACATGCGATACCGGTATTGCTGTTAATTGAATTCATTTATAGGGACCGGATTTGCGAGTGGTGGCGGGAAAGTCGTAGCTCAAAAGTTTGATGTAGCTTTTCAATAATAAAGATATTTTATATTTGTATTTTTATTCATTTTATTAAATGATTTCTCCTTATATAGTTCGTATTTGTTTTTATATTTATCAAGAGACAAACATCGTCATAGAAAATATTTTCGTTAATAAATGATTTCAATAATTTTTGAAGTTGAATGAATATTCATTCGTTTAAAAAACAGTAAATAAAAAAATCAGAACTTTATTAAAAAAAAGTTTAAAATTAATACATATTAAGTATGATAAATGTTAGACCAAAAATAAACATCCAATTACTAAACTATCAATCAATCACTTGGAGGATGTTTTTTCGTCGCTGTTTGCACCAGGAATCGAATCATACGCAGGAGGAGGAATAACAACGTATGCGGGAATTGGTGAATAATAAATGTTGTGAGTTGCAGGAACAAGATTGCTGAATTCGGAGCGAAGATTCTGATAATAAGCCCAGATAGCAAGACAGAAATGCAGCTATTAAATAGCAAATTTAAGATATTTTATTTAGCAACTCATTTCTCAGACCAAAATTTAGAAACAAAATTATGTAAAAAAAAAAAAAGATCACCTCAATCAAGCAAGTTAATCCCAACAAGACCACCATAGATGAAACAGTTCGAAGATATATCTTCATACAAGCATCGAAATCTATATCAATATCTGGTTGCTCAATCACCTTCTGACAGATATCTCTATCGTAGTGGAAGGCCAACACCGAGAATACAATCGAAAGTGTTAATCCCAATAAAAGGTGGAACCAATAATAATACGCGAATAATTTGACATAATTGATTTTGTTCTAAAAAAATCATTTATCCTTTTAATATATTTTGTAGTGCAGTTGAGATTTCTATAATAAAGAAAAAAAAGGTTTCCTACTCACCTTCAATACACCAACAAAACCAGTGGCACAAATAAAACCTATAGCTAGATAATAGAAAGCCATGGCTGAGTAAACAGTACCAAGCTGTTCACTAGACAGCCCTGAAATTCGCCAGGCATTGCAAAAGTTTAATACCTATAATATAAATATAATAAATTCCGTGGTTTCTTTTTTTTTTATGAAATGCAAGTTATATATCAAAAGGTCACTTACAGCACCAAGCGAAGCTAAAATGAGAGTGCCTGTTCTTTATAAGTTTTAAATGAGAAAATAAACTTAGTTAATTAAGAAAAAAACAAACTCAAGTTGTCAAAATACTTTCTTACTTTAAGTCGATGCATAAGCAACACTTTGATAACATTGTTGAATGTGAAGAAAGTTGCTGTATATATAGGATGTTTGCTCTTAAATGAAGACAATGAAACGAGGTATATTACCACACACACCACGTATGCGTTATATCAATACGTACACGTGACCGAACGGTTATTACTTGCGTCTGTATTTATTTTAAGCGACATTTATAGGTTAATCTATCATCCTTCTTATCGCAAATCATGTGAACCATATATCTACACAGTGGCTCTATAGTGTACCGCCTTTATAGTAGAGACTAATTAAACTCGTGATATAGTGGATAATAGCCAAAACTACCTTTAATAAAATCCATTCGATATAGTAAATTTACTAATAAACTCTTGATATAGTGGATTTTTTACTATTAAATTTTTTTTTACACTATAAAGAGAGTTACTGTGTACGTGTACAATTCCGTTTTCCTATCGCAACGTTTATTTTCTCAATTACTAAAAAAATTATCTACGCGTACAAGTCTAATTTCCTCTAAAAAAACTTATAACCTACGCGTATATTCCTTTCTCAATATACATATACTTTTCTAGTTTATAAGATTTATAAGAAAGGACTTATTTGTAGCAAAAAACTTCTTTTCGATGTCGGTTGATAATTGGTGCCTCGAGGCTCTCGCTAAATGTTATGCTACACACTATAAATTAATAAAAATTGAATGAAACGATATAATTGAAAAGTTGAAGGCGAATCAAATGCTAATGGATTTATTAATTTTAGCTTACTGAAGCGCATGATGAATCATTGCCATACACGATGTAATTGAAGACCACAACATTTTAAATAATGAAAAGTTGAAGGCGAATCAAATAACGGATTTAGAGGCAAGTTTTAATTTTAGCACGTGTGGGGACAGACATTTGTCAGCCCCTTATTTAATATTAGAACGTTGTGATTAGGCTATTAGTTCAGGACACATTATGTAGGCTGAAGCGCTGTGAAGATAGGCTATTAGCTTGCCAAGGCATATCATGGGTGCTAAAGCGTGCCAAGGCACATCATGTATGACTAAGGCACATCATGTGTGCTAAAGCACTATGACGATAGGGCTAAAGCGCTGTGATGACATGCTCTTAGTTTGCCAAGGCACCTCAGTTAAAAGCCATGAATGGTAGTCTACTAATATGCTAGCACAACGTAGATGCTATTGTGCTGTGATGAATCAAACTTGCTTATCTTAAGCATCCTTTCAATATATAGGGCTAGTACATCGAGTCCGGTAGTGAAATGAATAATTTCACCCGACAATATATTCGAATCATGGAGCGTAGAATCTGTTGATTTGATTTCTTTGAATCATTTGTCGCAACAATGCACTTTAAATCTATTTTCTTGAATGGCTTTTGCGGCCTCATGTAAATTAGTACGCAACTCTTTGCCTTGTGGATATATATAACATTCAAGTTGTCTCGTTTTATAAGTAGACGGAATTGGATCTTGTATGCTATTGCGGTGGTGGTTGTGTTAATGGTTTTTGTTGTCGTACTTTTGTTCTTGATGATGATGGCGACGATAGCGGAATGCTGGCATTGACAATTCTCTTTTATTAATTAATGACAATAGTAGAAGAGGAAGCCCTCTCAGTCTTCGGTTTCCTCTTCTGTTGACTCTCTTCTTGCTCATCAACGGTTTCATTTCTTGAAATAATTTTATGATCGACTGTAAAAATTCAATTAGAAAAAGAATGCTTTTTGATCATTTTTCGAAGCTTTCGTCTGATTGTTTTAACTACAACAAATTTATAGAGAATAATTTAGTTTGCATTAATGTCACTAATTCAAAAACATGACAGACATTAATTAAACTATCAAGCTTGCAATATGTGTTTTTAACCTATGCTTATGACTTTCAAAAATGCTTGCTATTTGTTTTAACTTTAATGATTCGAATTATTCAATTATCCCAGATTACTGTACTTAGACCCAATGCAATGTTTTAAACTATCAATTACGAATATAGTAAAATAAAATCTAAGTGTATTTAATAGTAGTTCTTTTAATTTAATGAACAACGCCATAAATATTCGAGACTTAGATGTGTATTTGATTACAATTATGGTACATGTAATATGATTTAATTTTAAAATTAGACCAGGCGAAGTGGAGTAAAAGTCAGGAAAATATCTTCTCAATTTGTCTGGTGTTCTGTTTCGAATCAATTGTTCGATTGATTCGACTTGTCGTAGATTCTGAATTAATAGATTATATCATTTCGACAAGTTTAAACACCTTTCCGATTGTTGAATTGTCATTCGATGAAATGACACCTAAAATATAGAAATCCATTATTTCTTTATAAAAATGTCTCTGTGATTTTCAAGAATTTTTTTGGATTCTTGTTCTTAGTTCTGCATTCCACAAATGTTTCGAGAATGCTCCCAAATGTAATACATCTCCTAAGTGCAAGTCAGCCTACCCTTTTTTATAACGGAATTCTCTTTATAGCGACCAAATTGTCTAGAATGATTCATATATTACTATAGGAAAATTGACCTCTATGAGGTTGACTTGCATCGAAAATTTAGAAGTTATTATTTATCGAAATAAGTAACTCGCCATATTCATTCAATTATGTCGATTATAAGTAACCTCTCTATAACGACATCAAATATCCAGGCTAATTTGGTCCTTATAAAGAGAATGTCATTAGGGAAGCGCCAGAAATTACGTGATTTTTTTGGGGGAAGGAGGTAGAGCATAGAAAATAGTTATAATTACTATTATTTATCACCAAAAAACTACTATTTCTAAACTCTAAAATTCTCCTTCAGATTGAGTCTCTCGAAAATATTCCTCACACATTTCTAAAGCTGATACTTGCATATTTGGCAATGTATCTAGAATAATTGAATACTAGAAGAAAGCTCTTCTAATTGGTGAGAATTTGTTTTTCGTGGTCATCCTCTTTTGATTTGGTGTATATCTTTTTGATGTTTTGTTATAAAACTGAGAGTAGGAAAATACTTGTCACATATAATACAACACAAATGGATATGGAGTTCACCAGCAATAGAAGAACAATCCTTGTTATATTGATGAATTTTTATTCGGTCTGCATATTCAAGTATGTATATCGAATTTATAGTTATCTTTTTCTTTGAAAACTGGAGGAAGAAATCCATTATTTTCTTCTAACAGAGTTATTGCTTTAAGTGCCTGAGGAATTCTACGACAAGTTTGGTCATTGCATTTTCAAAAATTCAATGCATATCAAAATAATTGTCCATGTTTTTCAATTCAATTTCAGGTAAATATAAAATTACTATCTTTAATGAATTAATATGCTGGTCAATATATTCACAAGTTACTTTTTTTCTGTGAATTGGATCTCTCTTCTATATATCATATAGTCTTCATCTGTATAATAAAAATTTTTATATGCCAAATTATTATTAATTACATATTTTTTGCTATTTAAATGTGAACTGAAATAATTAATTTTAACAAGCTTTTCAAAGTATTATTATACTTTTTTCAATAGAATTATAAATAGTTTATATTATTAGATAATTCAAATTATATTATTTAATACTTGAAAATATCTTTGAAATGATTTGAATTTTTATTAAATTCTTTATTTATTAATAAAATTCAAATTAACTTTAATATTTTCTTCATATTTATAGTTTTTTTAAATTATTTATTATATATAATCTTTATAAAATCTATTATATGAGTTATTAATATTATTTTTATAAAGTATTTAAATAAATAAAAATATTTATATAATTAGTATAAAGAGTATTACTTTTTAATGAATTTATAAATAAGTATATAGAAAAAATAAGTTTCTATTTGATATTCATAAGAAAATTATAATTAATTATATAATTTTGAATATTCTTTTTATTATAAATATATTTAGTTTAATTTTTGTTTTATTATCTTGAAAGATAATTATAAAATTATTTAAAAAGCTTATAGCAAAAATTTTTATAATTTTGATTAATATTAAATAATAATACTTATTAGAATATATTTTATTTCAGTCTGAATAACTAAATTAAATTTAATTTAAACTAAATAATAATATCATTTAATAATAAATACATTTTGATATTATAATAGTAGATAAGTAAAAAATATTTATTTTATAAGATAAACTTAATATTATTTTTTTAAATACTTTATTATTCTTATTTTAATTATAATTTTTTTTCATTTTGTAAAAGTAATATCAAATTTTATATTTAATAATTATTTTAATTAATAAAAATTAAAAATAATACAAATTATATATAAAAAAATTTAATTATATATGATATATATAATTATATTTTAATAATAGTTTATTTATTAATATGACATAAAAATAAATCTAAAAAAAAATAATTTTAGTTTTTTTTCTTTTTTTTATTATAAATAAAAGAAATTATAATTATTAATTAACAAAAAATTATAAGTTATCTTTAAAAATATAATATTTATAATGTTTTAACTATAAAAAAAGTGATATTTTTCTTTTTATAATATATAAATATATTATTTAACTAAAAAAAAATAAATTTAACTTATTTTTCATCTGAAATATCTTATAATTTTAACTTTTCAAGATTAATATATATTAAAAAGAATCATTATAAATAACAAGTATCTTATCTATGATAAAATTATTAAAAATTTTATTTTAAGATTAAAATATTTATATAAATAATATTAATAAGCTTGAATATTATTTAAAATTATATCTTTACTTTTAGAAAAATATTATTTAATTTAAATAAAATAAGTAAAAAAATATTATAAAAAAAATTAAAAATTATAGTATTTTTAAATAAAATCATATTTTAATTATTTTAAAATATTATACTTATTTTTATTCTTATTTATTATTTATTTAAAAAATATTTTTACTTTAGATTTCTATTTTGAAAATAATAAAAATTAACTTACTTAAAATTATTTATAATTATTAATTTAACTTGTTTATATAGTTTTCTTAAAATTTTTAAATTTTAATTCTTATTTATATAAAAATTATAATACTTAATTT